AACCTAAATAAATTTAGGTTGTACCTAAATCAAATTTACATTTACTAACCCATTTACACTTTTTGCCACCTAAATTCATCAATTTACGTAAATCCAATGAAAATGTAAATTTACTAATTTCGGTGACTTAGGGTGATAGCTTGTGATGTGTGTGGTGGTGTGGTCGTTCTTGTAGACGTATGGTGGGGCGACTGATAGTATGTGGTGTCGGTTCTGTCTTGGTTTGTCGAGGTGAGGGAGGCGTGTTTGATCGTTCGAAAGTGGGTGTGGATGTCGCGTGAGTCTTGTCCAATGTGGTGGCCAGTCGTAGGACTTGATGATGGAGAGTGGTTGGTATGCGTTGTAATCTGAGACATTGGTGGTAGAAGGTCTGCTGGTGCTCCAAGGTCGTTTTCATCGTGGGCAGCAACGTTTGGAGCTGTTGGATTCGACCTGGTAGGCGTGGGTCCTGGTTGTTGGTGTCTGAATCGGCTTGTTGTAATTGTTTGATGGTGTCATGTAGTCGGTTGAATTGAAGTACCATCAGCCGGTTGATCTGGATGTTTGTGTCTCGCAGCTGTGAAATAATCTGAGCGTCCAAGGCAACGAGGGAATCCATCGCAATATCTGTACACAAACGAAAAGCTGAGCTAAGTTGAATGGCCGAGCTGCAATGACATCAAAGTAAAACCAAGATCAGGAAAAGTCATCAAGGCCAATAATGACAAGAACAATAACAGCAATCGACAACAAAGGGAATAAATCTCGCACATGCATCGGAAAGGAGTGAATTGGGTGCAACAAACTGACCGGTCTGTACATGGAATCGGCGATGTGGCAATGGTCTGATATTTGACAACACTCGATGTGAAAGAAGTTTGTTCAAGCAAAAGGGCTCCATTGTCAATCGGTCTTGTTTTTGGCAGCACGTGTGGAAGAGAGTTATGGCAATGTTCATGGGTTGGAGTCTATTGCTCACAACTGCTGAAACGACAAAGGCACTGAGCAAATATGTAAATAGGTGCGAATTGACAATAAGTACAAGGCCATCAATAATTCTGGATGTTCTTCAGCGCAAAGTAGTCATGGCGAACTGGATGCCCAAAATGAACTGTTGTCAATCATGTGCTGTTGAGCTATGTCTCTTTGTCCGATGGAGCCGGGGGTTCTGTAGTCATCGTACTGGCGTCTCGTGTTGCTGGAGGCGTTGCTTCAGCTTGATGGGATGTTTTGTGAGGCGACGCTGCTTCGGCTTCTGCTTCAGGGCTCTCTGGCTGTTGAGGTGTGTAAAGAATTCGCAGGACTTGCCATCGACCTTTGCAATCAAAAGGCGTTTTGTTGAGTGCCCTGGCAATGTACTTCCAACTGGGGCGAGCTCGCTTGTTGAGTTTGAACGCCGCCAGTTTTTCATCTTCGCTGGGTTCCCATCCTCCATTATCAGGATAAGGAGGGGAGTCTGTGAGAATTTGTGGTGGTTTTGGTTTTGGTGCTGGTGAAGTGGGAGGTGCTGGTGTAGGAAGTGGTGGAGTTGGTAATGGCTGTGGAGGTGAAGTGGGCGAGCTGCTGAGAGAAATCGTTGTGATCGGCGGTGTGTGTTGTTGTTGGAGGTCTGTATTGTTCTTGTGTTGAAGTCGCGATTGAGTCGCTTTGTCTTTGTGGTGATGTGGTGAGTGCTGATGAGGTGAAGTGGGTGTGTGGGAGGGTGAAGGTTCTGGCTTGCATCTCAAGAGAGATTTTTCGGTGGTGCGAGGTGGGCTGCGGCTGCGTGAAAGAATAGGTGGTGGTGGCTGCGGTGGTGGAGTGCGTCTGCTTGATCGTTTGGAAGAGGTTGGAGTGGTAATAGGTTGGTGGTGGGTAAGCGGTGGTGGTTGTGGTGTGAAAAGTGGAAGGTTCTGAAACGTAGTGGCAATGGATGTAGCTGCTTGAAGATGAGCTAAAAGAAGTCGATAAATGCTGTGTCTATAGGAGAGGTCATCGTCGTGGTACTCGTCGTAGGACCAATATGGCTGACGCAAATGTAAAAAGGTCGCGCTCAATGATTTGAATAATACAAAATGGCTGCGGTGCAAGGTGAGGAGGTGAAAAAGTCGTGGAATAAAATCATACGTCAGAGTGAATCGCATCGAAATATCAGAACAATCTGAACTTTTGGAGAAGTTGAAAGCTGAAAGCTGAAAGGTTGTCTACAGAAATCAAGTGCAATCAGCATGGAAATTTTGAGGCCTTGTCGTCATCCGAGATATGGGGTGAAAAAGAACCTCTTGGGCTGGATAGGTTGAATTAAATGAAGCTGAGCGGTGGCTTTGCATCGCTCTTCCAAGCAATCCCTTCTATTCTTGAGTGTTTGGGATGTGCTACCCAGCATTTTCCTGGGGTGTACTTTACAATCCCTTCTCCTTTGAGCAGCAGGTCATTCGCTGCGGATTCGCCACCATGAGTTACTTTCTGGCCGTGTCCGTAGGCTTTGATCGTCAAGATGAGGCCACTACGGTTCTTGGCCATGTTCGAAGCATTGAATAACACGCGTGCAGCTTCAGCAACATCATGTGGCTCATAGTTCGATAGTTCGAAAGCCTGACAAAAGTAACCCACGTTGTTGTCATCATGTAGAACGGATCGCACGATTTCACCCGCTTCGAGTATTGAAATGATGTTGCCCTCCTCACTAACGTGTGCCGCAAAAACATGTTTTATGGGTGGTATGTTCAGAGCCTCTCGCCGTGTGGGAGGGAGGATCGGGGCATCGCCCCTGCTCGCTAGTGTGGGGATGGTGAGTAGTAGGAATGAATGATGTTCTTCTTTGTTGGTGTCATCGCTCCATTTTGTGTGAGTGAGAAGTTGCAGGTCCGTAAAGTGGGTGCTGTTGAGATGGGCCGCACTGAGCACTTTGGCCACGTAGGAAATCATGGGTTCATTTTTGACATCAAGTGATTGTGCGTAGTGGTTGATCCATTGGAAGACATCCAATTGTGCAGGATCAGTGGGCGGTTGGAATTTTGGTGGAGGTAGGTTGTGTGGACGACGTTGAACAGGAACAGGTGGTGGTGCAATGGGCGGCGGTGTGGGTGACTGTTTGGTGGTATGTTTGGGTGTGTAATGTGGGTTGGGTTTGAGTGTGATGCTTGAAGAACGGTGAGGTGAGTCCCCACTGCGTTTTGTGGTGGTGGCAGTTGTGATGTCATGGGTAGAAGTGTGGGCTTTGTCCTGTGTGTGTGCTGGTGATGCGTGTCTGCCAGCAGGTGTGGAATGTGGTTGTGAGCTGGCCACTGACTGTGTGGCTGAGCTTCGTCTTCGTGGCAGTGGAGAACGTGTGGTACGTATTGACCGAGTGCGGCTCCTGGATCTGGATGTAGCTTGTGATGGTGCGATGGTGGGGACAGCAGGGAAAGCTGTGTAGCGGTGGTGTTCAGGTGTGCGAGGTGGTGAGCGATCTGGGTCGCGCCAAATACCTCTTGTGGTGCTGAGGGTGGGTGCTATAGATGGTGTCGGTTTGGTTGTGCGTGGTACGTTGAGTGGTGGTGGAGGCTGAGCCGGCGTGTTGATGGATGCTGAAATAGGTTCAGTGGGGGTTGCTGGAGTGTGTGGTGGTGGTGGTGGTGGTGGTGGTGGTGGTGGTGGTGGTGGTGGT